CTTTAGGAAGGCATCAGGAAGGCCAACTGGGCCGGGCCTTTTTAAATCGCCCAGTTTTAATGCCTTGGACCAAACACCATCTGGTGTAACTATTGGCACAGTAGCATCATTTATGACACATGTGGATTTTGCGCACACGGAATCAATAGTAAATATACTGTAAAAGAAGTCGTTGAAGCAGTCGGAAATTCTTTGTGGCTCAGTAACAGCCTCATCATGTAACATAATTTCTTCTACCTTATCTGTGGGTTTACCCAAACGTGTTCTGAACTTATCAGGATCACTTTTAATGAATTCCGGCAGAGTAACATTTTGGTAGTGAGTCTTAGCTGCCTTAACTTTTTCCAATAATGCTCTTTTTAAATCGTTCCATTGTTGAGGTTATATGTGTCTGTGTTTGCGCAGGCGCTGAAGTTTGTGTTTCAAGAGCATAACTTTTCTCATAACCTAAAGATTTCTATGCCGTGTGCGAGCAGTTCTGTAGTTGATGTGAAATGCTCAATGCAGTATCAGAGAAAATCTTCAAAGCTGGTCCAAATATTTTCAACACTATTTGACCTATTTGTACGATCTTCAAGTGTAGTGCTAAGGTAATAAATGATAGAATCACTGCACAATGCGTAGTCCTTCGCATAAAGAACTCTCTTATCTGTTGCATCATTAGCAGATTTCACATTGCAAACACAAGTAAAGGAAGCTGTGACTTGAAATACCAAGATGAACTTTTAGAACTGCAGATTAAAAGTGTGGTCCGATAAACATCAAGTCTAAGACATCATTTGCACGAGTGCACTCACAGACAACATGCTTCAGATTTAGTGGAATATTCTGTCTAATGAACCATCACCAATAATCACACTGACTGTATCACAAGCTAACCGCAAGCTTACTCAAATCAATGCTAGGTAGGTAGAAATCATCCGTCATAATTACATTTTTTAGAATTAAGTGAGAGCAATTTGTCGTACAACATGAGAAGAAAAGACAAATCAGAATCAGGGGCCTGATATACAGCACACACTATAAATGAAAAACCATTCAAGAAGAACTGTACAAACAAGCGTTCATGCTCGGTAATTTGAGACATTACTTCATTAGTAATATCTCATTTAAAATTATAGCCCCAGCTCTACCACGCTATGCATGATCACGCCTAAATATCTTATAACCAGGAAGGATAATCTCATCATCCCCAATGTCGCCTGGCAGCCAAATTCTAGTTGTGATTGTCAAGTGCGGTCTGTAGGACAAAAGCAGAGTTTCAATTATACATATCTTATTTACTACACTTCTGGCAATAAAAGAAAGGATGGCTGCTGACCCGCAGGGCGCAGGTTCGTATCCCGGCTGCGGCGGCTGCATTTCCGATGGAGGCGGAAATGTTGTAGGCCCGTTGCTCAGATTTGGGTGCACGTTAAAGAACCCCAGGTGGTCTAGATTTCCGGAGCCCTCCACTACGGCGTCTCTCATAATCATATAGTGGTTTTGGGACGTTAAACCCCATATATCAATCAATAAAAGAAAGGATGCGCATCTCGGCACCGATGTTTCCTTCAGCTATGCAACTTTATCAGGACCCTTGCAGACACAGCGCGTATTAATCGTCCCACACATAGTACCTGTTATCAATGCATGCGTAGCCATCGTGTATGAATGACAGCCGTTTTCCTGACTTTCTTTCAGCATCTGCACTCTTCCAAATTTGCTTCCGTCATTTCATGGTATCAGCAGAGCAATCATTTTGCAGAAGTACGCAAGTACCTTTAATTTCTCTAAATTTACGAAAAACTGCTTGCTTTTTAAAGCAATCGTGAAAATAAGGTATAATTGGACGGTTCATCGAAACCCTACCGAGGTGGTGTATTCTGGTCACAGAGGAACATTTTGCTCCAATGGTCTTTTTCAATGACATTATTTATTATCTTACGTCGCCACTCGAACTCCGTTTCATTCTCGTTTTCTTGAATTCTCCTTTTTTTAATATTAAAATCGCTATTGCTTCACTCCGACACAGCAGCTTGATTTAAAAGGGTGCAAACCTCTTCAGACGAGAAATATAAAGCAAAAACAACACAGCTCGGATTGTCAACAAAGCATGCCATCTTTATTGAATAGCTGCGAATCGTTCCTTAGACGTTATATTCACTGTCAGATCGCTCTGAAGCTGGTATCTTAGAGCAGGAACCACCACAGCCATTTCAGCAGCAGATTTCTTTGGACTATCCCTTCATTTTATCCTTCTCACTTACACGAGGCTTCGACAGTGTTCGCCATTTATCACATTCGAAGGAAACCAATATTCGACCGTTTTAAACTGTGAATGCTACAATCGAAGAACTGAAGGAGACCATTTGGTTCGTATTCATTACTTTCAATATCAGCACAGTAGAATAGAACGAACAGCGTCGGCCATTTGGTTCGCCTTCAACATATTTATCATCCGCAAACGCTTAAGTAAACACAACAGTTGTGCAGGTAAATTCATACGATGAAGAGTTCGCTCAATATTCAGTGTTTCTTCATAACGCTATGGGTAACCAGAGCTGGAGTTCCCACGATCACTCTGGCGGTGAGAGCGCGCACTTCTCAGCTGCTCCCGCAGACGACAGTAATGGCTGGTAGAGGCGGTGCGGGCGCGCATCGCCCTAACAAAACCAAAGGGCCTGACGGTACTGCTGCGTATCCAATTGCAGCAATATATAGCAAGAGGGAGGACGTATAAAAGAAAGGGAGGGCGTAGAAAGAGGAGGTGGCGTTGCATCCAAGCGGTCAGGCGAGCATAATTCTGCTCTCGCTCTCCTGTCTAGTGCTGTTGGGCTTGTTTCTAAACCGAATGGCGCGTATCTGCTATATTTATTCGATAGTGAAGACAGCTACCAGTAAAAACCAAGGCCAAACAGTCAAATTTAAACGGTGTTTTGCCAGAAATAAAACGAGCGTATTGTGCAGAATATGGCATATGTAAACTTTTTTTTTATCTGGCCCGCTGAGCATTGAGCCGTGCACTTCAGGACTCACAAAGTTTTTATGCATTAGTCCATTTTACCACTACCACCAAACTCCATTTAATACCCAGGGCAGGGTTAAAAGTGCTTAGGTCCCGCTTCAAAGAAATAAGGTGGGCCCTTCGGGCCGCCCTTTTCTTCCCGCTTTGTCATCTGGTCATGTTTGGGACTTGACGCTTTTTTTAGATTTAGCTGCAAAGAACACAAGTCATATTTATTCTAAGCCTCTCCGGAGTGTTTAATATCACCCTGGCGTTTTATTTCTTGAAGTGTTGTGTGCACACAAATTTTGTATTACCGAAGAATGCGCCATAAGGGCTGTGCTGCCTCGTGGATCGTTGAACGTGGCAGCGGTGTTATGTCAGCTCGGACAAGCATGGTGTTCTGCGCCTCTGAACTGTTATAAAAGACACTCTCACGGTGAACACTCGATGTCGAGATGACCCTGGTCAACTTGTGCAAAAGACAAGTTTATTGCTACGAACAAAGCAGTGGACTACTCGAAGGTTAGCTTTCTAGAGTCAGCCGATGCAGTAAGCGTTTTTCTCACTGGCTCGTGACTAATTAAGTAACATTAGAATTTATGCCTTGCTAGAGAAGTATCAAAAATCTTCAATTTTCACTTGTCGTTTAGTTCGCCTAACACACAGTTTCAGTTTTTCCGCTTGCCTGTCTCGGCTTAAAAAGAAGGTGTCTGTTCAACATCGATAATTGCTAGGCTTTCATGTGCCAAACAAGATATCCTATTGAGGTACGCTGTAGTGTGCGTATCAAGATTGTGACCACTTGGGGTTCTCCAATGCGCAAATAGATCTTGGTTCGCGGGTGTTCTTTTTATAATTCACGCCCATCGAAGTGCGGCCGCCGTGGTCGCTAATCTATCCCGCGCCCTCAAAAATAGCAGCGCGACCCCACACGTGCTATTCTGCCACGGTGATTTGCTTGATCACCGTCCCCATGCACACATACCGCGGACAGGGCGTACAAACGATGGCAGAAAAACAAAGATTGACGCAGCTACCACTTACTCTGCTTTTGTTTTTGTTTCGTTTAACTGCATTGATTGATTGATCGATTGATCGATTGATTGTTTGAAATGTAGGGTTTAACGTCCCAAAACCATCATATGATTATGAGAGACGCCATAGTAGAGGGCTACGGAAATTTAGACCACCTGGGGTTCTTTAACGTGCACCCAAATGTGAGCACACTGGCCTACAACATTTCCGCCTCCATCGGAAATGCAGCCGCCACAGCCGGGAATCGAACCCGCGACCTGCGGGTCAGCAGCCGAGTACCTTAGCCACTAGACCACCGCGGCGGGGCTCGTATAACTGCAGATGTTGGAAGCGTGGTATCGTCGCAGCGCGGACTTATAAATGAGGGCATGTCAGCCAGCACTAGCATTAGCCCAAAACCCAGCACGCAACCAGAAAATGAGGATGAGGGAGTTGCCATCACGGCACAGCACCGTCCACTCGATACTATATGCACAGACGCAGTCCGCTTTGCAGGGCTTTTCTCCAGTTTTTAGTGTTTTTTATGTGAGAGCAGCCTTCGGGCAAAGTTATCTTTAAAACCACAGTGCAGTATTACTGGCGCAACGGCTTTTCCAGCTATTCTTTTCAAAATGAAGCACGGCAGTGACGCAAGCGCGTGCTCTCAGAGTAGTACACTGCAGCCGGTCGTCTGGGCGCGAGCAGCTGAGTTGTGTCGCGACTCTCCACCAGGTGCTCTTTTTCGGCGCGCCACCTATCCAGCGCTGGTCTCCCATAGCCCTAGTGTAGATATGAGCGAAAAAAACAGGCAGGTCAACCAGACACGCGTCTTAATAGCTACACTACGCCGGTAAAACTTGCTCAAATGAAATGCTACGTTATTGTTCTATATGCACTTTGTAGCTTTATACCATTCGTAGAGAAATCCCTCATTAACTACGCCCGCTTACAACTGTTTTCATGAAAACTAAAGGCGCAAAGATCCACACAACAGAGGTAATTCAGCAACATGTTTATTAATATGTGTATAACAAGCAAATGGGAAATGTTGATGAGGCCGGGCACATCCTTATTGCGGCACCTTCGTCATTTCTGATCAGGTGCGGCCGGCGACTTGTGCACCCTGGAAGTAGTGGCAAGTAGAGGGCACAGTGACAAAGGGGAAGATTCCAGGCCGCGTATAAGGAGGCCCAGAAACCACTTTGCGGACCGTACCTGACAAAGAGAAGCTGAAGCTTGCCACTGCACTTCCAAATATAGTCCACAGCGTCCCTGGCGGTGCAGCCGATGAAGTCGCAACCGTTCACCTGCGAAGGATCAATTTGAAAAGAAAGCCACCCGGTAGAGTTGAGCGAACCTTTCAGAATCACAACCCGAAGCAGACTGCCTCTTCAACAAAGAGGCTCGGACGTCCGCCGCGCTACTTACTCACTTATAGTTCGCTTGTCTGTATACGTTTGCGGTCACATGGGTCAAAACGAAATGTAAAGCATGGTATCCTTGGTATCGACTGATTATACTATATAGACCACACCTCAAGGCTAGCCAGATACTATACCTCAGTTTATTGTGATATGAATTACATGTACACGCTCAGCGGGTGTTCACCGTTACGGCCGTGCTCCGTACAATGTCCAAGTCGATATCATCACTCCACGCATCGTATGTTTTGCGCGCTATAGTAAAAAAATGCGGGAAGCCCTGGGTACGAGCACGGCAGAAATAGAAATTAATAGGGCCGGCCATTTCCGTCATACGGAAAGCACATGTGATAACATCGGCCCACGTGCAAGGCCTGGCTTCGATTGCTCTTCAAGCAGTTGAAGAAGGACTGAGCCCCTATAGACAGAGTTTCATTTGCACTCACTAGGGGGAACTCTGGCGCTAGTGTCTACGGGAGCTCCCAGCATGGGAATGATGGGTAGTACACGGATTTGTCTAATCTTCGTTCTTTCGGCTCCGTTAGGCTCCGCGAAGCCAGGAACCGCTTTGTCGTGAGACTAAGTTCAGGAATTGTGTAACACGCACACTTCACCGCCATAACCTTTTTAGGCTCTGCAATTGAAATCAGTTTACGAAGTTGAGAATGATACATTTTTTTATCCCAAACGAACGCCAAAACAAAACAAAAAACAAAGCCACAAGTGCGTTCGAAGCCTGCAAGTACGAAGACTATAGGCAAATCCGTGTAGTATACCCATCATTCCTACGGTGGCTGAACGATCGCAGCACCAGAGTTTCCTTTAGTGAATACTCTATGAAATTTGATTCCTAGAGCAGCATTTGCGCACTTTGATCACAAGGGCCCGGTCAAACGCCCTCTATATCAATATGCACTACATTGCTAGACGGCTCGTGTACGTATAGTGTGCTCTTGCCGCTTTGCATTGAGACGACAGCAACGCTTCACTTCTGAAGTGGTCGCATCCACTGAAAACCAGCACTTTGTAGAGTTACTCAAGATCGGATCCAAAATAGTCAGCTGTTAGCCTTACTTTGCATAACATTCTGTTACTTACTTTACTTTACTTTACTTTACTTTACTTTACTTTACTTTACTTTACTTTACTTTACTTACTTACTTACTTACTTACTTACTTACTTACTTACTTACTTACTTTGCATACAATTTTCTGTTATCAAATTCATTGCAGCGCCCTTTTAGGGAAACGTAACTTTTTAGATATCCCAGCGAGCAAAATCTTTCGAGTCATCTACGAACAGGAGAGCCTTATCTATTTAGGGTAGGGTGGGGTAAAATGCAACAATAAGCTGAAAATCGTGAATATTATATTTTGTTTCACTCTTTACCATTAAATGCTAATGCATAAACATTCCGTTGAGTACAATGTATGTGGTGCATAAATATGACCATGTTGCCACCGTTCAAAGAGGCGTTTTAAAAAGAAATAAAAAGTGCACCAGATGTCTTATTTAGCCCCAACCTGCGGGGCAAAACGAGAGAGTGTCAAAAAACTTTATCTTCAGTTTTCGCACTAGAAGCACCTGAAACTCACTCCGTGGGACCTGGTGTAGTCGGGGGTCTGCCGACTACATCATCCAGCCTAAGTCTCTAAGAGATGTAGAGGAGAGGAGCCCGGAGCTGTTAACAGGATAACTCAGAAACTTTTCATTACAAACTTTGCATTTTTAAGGTATAGCGTGGTTACATGACGGGGGCAGCATCGTGGAAGCTCTCGATGGAAGCTTGTTGAGAGTTTCTGGAAGCTTGTCGGGACCGTTGTATGCCCTGGTCTCCCCAGTATTTTCTGCAGGGAAAAACAATGGAGGCGAGGACAGCCCAATGAAAATGCAGCTTTCACCTTCACCGCCAAAAGGGGAAAGTGAAACACCGCCTGCTTCCTAACCGAAGAAGGAGGGAAGATGCGCGCCAAGTTCTATGTAGAGGGAGAAAACACTACACGACACAGAGCAGCGCAAAGACGTTGGGTCGTACATTCAGATCTGCCGTGTGGTCCGTTGCAGTGATGAGTGTGCGGCGCCGGCAAGGCCAAGGTTTGTAGAAAACGGCGGCATGAAGGCACCACGAGGAACGCGGGAAATGCACCCGAACACGGATCTCAGATGCCGGTGCAACTCGGAGATGACCACCCTTTCTACGCCGTTTTGACTGCAAACAGCCCTTCTTAAGCCATCAATCGGTCGGTCAAATTCAAAGAGTTTTACAAGGGGATACGATTGCACTGCGAAATTCAAAGTACTGCTGTCGTGTTGTCGCCGCTTTTGGCGCATGTCTTCAGGGTAGTTCTGACCCGGAACAAATCAGAGTAGGCTCAACCACAGCGTCTCATGCTTCCTGGTGGCACCAAGTCAGGCAGGCCGATCATAACAGCCCCCACGCAGTCTTCATGAGCTCACTCCACGCTATGAATCCAGACAGAACCCTGCGTTGTGTTGCTCCAAAACTCCTACAGAATATTACGCAACCCCAGACTTTCTTTGTGCTAATAATATCGTTTGTTGAATGCTTGCACTTCATTAGATTATATAATTATGGGAAGCTAGTTGGGTTATAACGCATCTTCTCCTGTTTTTTTTAGCCGTTCTGATTGAGAACAGCACGGGCATTTCGTGGCTTTCAACTTCGTCAGCTGGGCTTTGTGAGGTGATGAATTACGCATTTTCTATCGTTTGTTAATTTTAAAATTTCACTATGAAAAAATCTCACTGAAACTAGGTTCCAGGACGTTTTTGTGAACGGCTTGACTTGGAGATTTTTTTTAATTTTTCACGTACTTCTTGAGAGCATCCTTAGGAACGCGGAACAGCCTCGATATAACGCGAGTGGAGTGAGTCCAGTCCTCAACAGCAGTCAGTGCTTTTTAATGTCATTTTTTCAAACCATGAAGCTCTATATAATATTCTCTTGTACGTCCTAACTCCCCAAAATTGAAAAATATATATAATTAGTACGTGTAAATGGTTCACTTTTGTCACGTTTTACCCTTCCCACGTTCACGAATAAAAAAAAATTCCGCTTTGGTGCCGTGCACCAAATGAACAAAATTTTTGTTGATGTGTAGCTACTAATATAAAGTAACAAAATAAATACGCAAGTTGTTGTACTGACGTAGGAGTATTTTCGTGCACGAACCCAAAAACTTGGCCTTGCAAAACTTCGCCCGTTTTTGTCTTTTTTGTTTTTGACGGGTGACGAACACATCGACACAAGCCGCATAATTCTGCTCCCGCGAACGCTGTGATCAATGATAAATTTTTAAATAAAATGGTAGAATACTACCAATACAAAATGCTGATGTAGGGAAACAAAAAAAAACTACTCATAGTATTAGCTAAAGAGGTCGGCAAAATAAAAATGTCACGTTTTGCCCTGTGTCTCATTTTGCCCCACGCTAACTTACCGGAAAGCACGTCTCGGAATCATTCTAAGACAACATCAGGAGAAAGATACTGGCCATTGATATATGCTCACAGTGGAACCATGTAACATATTCACAGCTGGCACGCATAAAAGTTCGCCGTACTAAATACTTGTGTACTTAGTGTCACCACTGCTAGCATCTGTAATACGGACGTAGACATCCAACACGTTATCTTCCAATGCTTATTGAGACTACCACCAAAGGTGTTACCATTGTGCACTTTGGCGTGCTCTGGAACACGAACTGCGTCAAGATTTGATTGCTATGTGGGGCTTAACTCCAAACCACCATATGATCATGAGAGACGCCGTAAAGGTGGGCTACGGAAATTTCGACCACCTGGGGTTCTGCAACGTGCACCCAAACCTGAGCACACGGTACTGTGTCAAGATTAATAATTATATGCGATGCTATACGAGCCATAGCCACAAGGTGATCACGAGGCACGCCGCAGGGGAGGGCTTAAGAAGTTTATACAATCTGGGATTTTAACGTGCAATTACATCGAAGCACAAGGGCGTCTGTCATTTTGTCTCCATTGAAATGCCACCGCCGCAAACTTCGGATCAGCAGCCAAGCACGGTCACCACTGTACCCCCACGGACAGTTACTGATGTTTTATGTGCCAAAATTACAAAATGAGTACAAGGCACGCCGTATTGGTAGACTCCGGATTACTTTTGATCACCTAGAGTTTTTTGACGTGCACCTTAAACTAAGCACATAGGTGCTCTTTGCTGCATTTCAGTCCCATCGAAACGTGGCAGCCGTAGCCAGAAATAGAACCCAAGCCTTCGAGCTCATAGCAACGTGGTACCCCTTGTGCTAGGCTACCGTGGCGGATGTGCCACTGCCACGGCTGCTGTGTCAAGGTATCAATAATGGTGTTTCCATTATTGCATTTGCTATGGTACTCAATTTCCAAAACATAGTTCAATATTTTTTTTCAATAACTTAAAGATACCACAACTCACTAAAAGGTTGGACTCGTCAAGGCCACGAGTACAGGCTCAGTGATGCGCACTTGCCGTGCGGACTGCTGCGCAATACAGACATTTCATACAGTCATCTGGAACTAAACTCGGATTACCAGGGCTCTCAGAACACCACTTACAAAAATACTATCCTCAGGTTATAAACGATTCCGTTAACTTCAGGGAATCGATCTGAATAATCGCTTAGCGCAGTTGACGTCGCCGCTGTTGGCCTTTCGGTAGACTATGGCCTCTGCAAGAGACTTATTCATCCACAGTCTAAATTTATCTATGATCCAAAGCCAAACACATTTGAAGTTGAAGGCCCTTTAAAGACAAAAGCCGGGAAAACCGATAGCCCCAGAGTGTGCACAAGTCTCAGCGTGCTACCCCTACTTTAACATGCACTACACTTGTTCATCAGACACCGGATGCCTAACGACAAGTCACACGGGCAGAAGGGGCATCACTGGGAGTTATATGTGTACTTCTAAACAGCCAGATCACCACGTCTGGTCAAAGCGCGACTTATATATACTGGAGACACTAAGTGCGGCGTTTGAACCCCTTGAGCGAAAGAATGATCCACTCACCAATATATACGCTCAAAAAAAATTTAACAGAGTCCTTAGCCATTGTCAGCACCCTAGGTTGTGCACTGCCTCCGGACACACGTGTTTTTAGCCAACGACTGCAGATTTGAGTATTAATTGTTTGCCCGCTTTCGTATGTGTATTGTGCGCTCCCATGTTGTGTCATACTTTTTTTCTTTTTTTTTCATTTATCCTTCGCTTTCTCGTTCCTTACAGCTAAGTAGCATACTGAATATTGCGGTTAAGTTAACCTTTCCGCTTTTCGCTTTGTTCTCTCTCTCTCTTTCTCTCTCAACGTCACGCTAGTTGTGATGGTTCTCTCAACGAACTTTTGTCGACATTTGGAACACACACTGCTGCATGCGACATTTTTTGTTGTTTTTTTTTTTGTTTCTATGGTCTAAGGAGTAACACTGTTTTAATGCTGGTGCCTATGGACCACGGAAGGAGGAGGAGGAGGAGGAGAGGGGGGTCAGCCGACCCCCTTCCTGAATATTTTTTGATTTCGCATGCGTGTATATATATATATATATATATATATATATATATATATATATATATATGAACACACGCACCGAACGGCTGAACCCCTCCCTAAAAAGCTTTTGGCTATGTTACTGCTATAAATTATCGGTAAATCCCGAATCCCGAACAGGAGGCGGCCGCATCCACCTGTATTCTATCTGAATGAAGACTTCTGCACAAAAAACACAATGCCACAATCGCTAAGCCATCGGGGTTATTTTCTTTGCATTGTTAAGGATGCGGAATCAAAGAACAACAAGTGAGATCTATATATGGTGAACGATGTTGAACATTCCTGAATTAAATGTAGAAAGTCATCAATAAACTGAAGCATACAAAAAAAAAGAAGACATTAAGCATTTTGATAGCTAAACCACACTGCTTAATGTGCTTCTGCATTACACAGGCCACACGACTTCCCTGGATTCGTCCGATTTCTATTCAAGAGACTAAGACATACTACTAGGGAAAATCTGAGAGGGCCTACCTGATGCGCTCTGTTCTAGCCTCTACTCACCACTGAGATAATGGTATACAGCAGGAGAAATATACCAAGGCACAAAATGACTGTTTGGTCACTTTTTAAATATAATTCGATAAAGAAGGCGCAAAAATTATTCATGCGAAACCAACTCACCCACTTGTCCACTTTCGCATTGTATAGAAGACAAACAATGTGCAAGAATGGCATGAGGATAAATCAACTTTTGTTGAGCCGAGGCTTTCTTGGGAACTTTTGCCGTTTAATTCATGATCATTAAACATCACCACGAATGTGAAAAATTATACAATAGCTAGAAGCACTTTCTGAGGTGGCGCATAAATTTTGATATCTCCAAGAAAGCCCCGATGACATAAAAGGCTAAAAAAATGCAACATCGCCCACTACAAAGGGGACCATGAGGCGATCCGTAGCAACGCGGGGCGTGCACACCGCCCTTGCATCGGTTTGACGTAGTGTTTCCGGTAATGTTTCTGCTAATAATGCATATTTATGTTCTCATTTGTATTGTGTTTATGTTCTTAGGCTCTTGTTAACGCAGGTACCTATAGTTAAACCGACGCGAAGCATCGGTTTAACTATAGGTGTTTAATGATTGATATGTGGGGTTTAACGTCCCAAAACCACTATATGATTATGAGAGACGCCGTAGTGGAGGGCTCCGGAAATTTAGACCACCTGGGGTTCTTTAACGTGCACCCAAATCTGAGCACACGGGCCTACAACGTTTCCGCCTCCATCGGAAATGCAGCCGCCGCAGCCGGGATTCGAACCCGCGACCTGCGGGTCAGCAGCCGAGTACCTTAGCCACTAGACCACCGCAGCGGGGCATCTATAGGTGTCTACGTTAACTATTAATAATAAATGTATACGTTAACTATTTCCCTAAATCACTTGTGGTACATACCTGCATACCACGGGCGTGCAATGCGGATATATGCCGCAGATGATTCACAGTTTATGTCAACCCAAGGACGACCGGCACAGTCATCATAAAGTTTGAACACGTGAGCGCTAATGTGCCCATGTCACATGTTATGTGGCGTCGTGCTATAGTTTCAATGTTACCGCTAGTTTTGTGGGCAGGAAAATCCTCAGTGTTCTCCTGTTATTAAATCTAGGACAAATGTAGAACGCACCAGTCAAGTGAATTCATGTTTTGTTAATTTTGAAGTATATATAGTCTCATATTCAATTTATTATGCAGCAAAACACACCCACATATTTAAAATGTCATGGCACGATAACGCTTGAACTGTCCACTTTGTTTCTTGTCTCTTCCCTAGCTTCATTCACTTCAGCAACTGTAGCGCGAATTTTTTTCAGTCACGGAAAAGCAACTAGCCAAATACATCACTTCGCTCACAATAACAAACTTTCTTCCATCCCACATCACTTTGTCATCAAGTGGTCTGAGCCGCCAGCATTTGCGCAATGGAGCGTTTATTACTGTCTCGCACTTTTCTCTTCCACTTGTCTTAAGATGAAAAGCGCGTCGTCGACAAACAACTGACTCTGCGGGCTTTTTTTTTTTTACTTTGCCTCACGGTGAGTGCATGCATACCTGTACGAGGAAGTCGCCGGTGTGGATCCGACCATCCCTCGAGGCCAGACTCCCCGGGTAGACGGCCTTGACGACCGGCGCATTGGGTGTGTCCCGGGCGTTGGGATCGCAGTCTCTGAGGCTGAAGCCCAGCTTGGTGTGCCAGCCGCGGTGGAGCTTCACAGACACGCACTCGATCTGCGCATCCGTCAGAGATACGGACACCATACTCATCCAGCAGCTCACATCGATATTGTAATTATTTCAAGCCACACCCCGATATCGCACACTCAAATGATACGTTATCATTCCTAACCTCACCGTATGAGCCGCCACGGTGGTCCAGTAGTTACGGTGATCGATGAACCACAGGTTTCGGGATCGAATTCTGGCTGCGATGGTCGCGTTTTCGATGGAGATGAAAATGTTTGAGGCACGTGTGCTTGGATTCAGGTGCACGTTGAAAAACCCCATGTGGTCGAAATTTCCGGAGCCCTTCACTACGGTGTCTCATAATCATATCATTGTTTCGTTAAATCCAATTATATTTTTATAATAACCATTGTGTACGTGGAGCAGTCTGGATATAGTTTCACCACCCCGTGCTGTTTATTGTGCAGACCTATAAATCGAAGTATATACGAGTGGTTTGTCCTTGTTCTGCATTGCGGTCCCAATGAAATGAGACCACCCTGACCAGGAATCGAACCAATGACTTCACGTAGCCTGAAACCACTATCCACAATTGCTTTTGACACCGAGGTTTTAATTACTTCTGAACTGTAGCTAATTTTTTTAGTAAATACATTTCTAAATTTTTATATAGACAGTTACATTGTATTGTTAATTACAGTTGGCTAAAAAAGTGACACTACATTACTATTAGTTTTGAAAGATAGTTGAAAGAAGGAGGCATGCACCATTTGTCAAATTTCAATCACGAAGGTAACGAGTAATTTTATGGAAATTACTCGCTCACAGTAATTCATTACATTATGCATCACGGCAAAAAGTCGTTCAATTACTCTAACTTCATCACCATCATTGCATTACTGATTGATTGATAGATATGTGGGGTTCAAAGTCTCAAAACTACCACATATTATTATGAGAGAGGCCGTAGTGGAGGGCTACGCCAATTTAGACCACCTGGGGTTCTTTAACGTGCACCCAAATCTGAGCACACGGGCCTACAACATTTCCGCCTTCATCGGAAATGCAGCCCCGCCGTGGTGGTCTAGTGGCTAAGGTACTCGGCTGCTGACCCGCAGGTCGCGGGTTCGAATCCCGGCTGCGGCGGCTGCATTTCCGATGGAGGCGGAAATGTTGTAGGCCCGTGTGCTCAGATTTGGGTGCACGTTAAAGAACCCCAGGTGGTCGAAATTTCCGTAGCCCTCCACTACGGCGTCTCTCATAATCATATGGTGGTTTTGGGACGTTAAACCCCACATATCAATCAATTCATCGGAAATGCAGCCGCCGCGGCCGGGATTTGATCCCGCGACCATTGGGTTGCTGACAAGTGCGGAGGTTACACACATATTACGTGAGGCCGGCTTGCTTTCAGGCTGCGCCCCTTTTTGATACAGAAGGCGCACTGCACAGAATAAATTCTCCAAGGGTTTCATTAACGCTTTACCTTATAGCTTATGCGTTAATTTCATTCGGTCAATGCTGCGGGTGACCTTGACTTAAGGTGAAAGGCCGACATTGCTTCGCAGTCTTGACATCTAGGTTGCTGCGCGCATATGGTGCAATCGCGCGCGAGGGCAAACTGGTTGAATTCAGGCACGTGCAGTATACGCGAGCTTTACCCGCGTCTTCCTCCGGCTCGCGTCTTGCATCATAAATAGCGCAGATGCTACAGCTGAATAGCACGTTTCTATATATACTTCTTTCTCACGATGAAACAGCTGATATACACCACGTATCAGGACACGGCAGCGAAAGTATACATGTAAGCGGCTAGGCAACGAGAACACGTGGTGATTCGTTTTCTTTCGTATATTCATGTTCTGCGGTGCTTGGAGGGGGTCACACAGCGGCATCTGTACAAATCATGTTGTGAATGTTCCGGAGGTATAGCATGTTCTTTCCGGTCGTTTGCATGCAGCGATAGTTATCTCCGCGTTGCAAAACACTCTGATAGAAGATTACGTTATATATATATATATATATATATATATATATATATATATATATATATATATATATATATATATATATATGGGAAAGAAGTGTATACCTAAGGGCTCGTTTTTCCGTGTTTTGACACAATAATAATGAGATCTAACAGACACTAATGCCAAGGAATGTATAGGGGAAGTTATTAGAACAAATGTATTATAATTAGGAAGAAAGAAAAGTGGGTGAAAAAATAACTTCCCGTGAGCAGGAATCGAACCTGCGACCTTCGAATAACGCGTTCGATGCTCTAGCCACTGAGCTATCCCGGCGGCTATCCCTCCAGCCACGTTATTGCGTTTATATGTCAGTTTAAACGTGTGAGTGTCAGTCAGCGCCATCAGCAGCCACCGCGGCGAGTGTAGACCACCCTTTTTATTAGCCTGTGTGGCGTATATATATATATATATATATATATATATATATATATATATATATATATATATATATATATATATATATATATATAAAGAGAGAGAGAGAGAGAATATTCTGAAAAAAGAAACGCACAAAAGAACAAAAAAAAATCCTGTTGCCTAAAGGGTGCTTAGAACTTTGGGCACCCGAGTGGCACTGTATCACGCAAAAATAATTTATTTCATATTACCGGTATGCAACTATTACGCAACAATTTTTTTTCTTGTTCTCAAGGCGCCACTATTACTTGACAATAATGGTTAACTGATTTTTGTTTTAACTATCTTTATTACTCGCAAGAGCAAAAAAACTGCAATATACTGCATGTTTAGAGGTGTTTATAAAAAGAACAGTTTTTTTTTTCGAGCGATGCATTCACGTTTTCTACTTTATACGCTTTATAATAAAGGAATAAAATACTTCGGGATAGATCTATCTATCTATCTATCTATCTATCTATCTATCTATCTATCTATCTATCTATCTATCTATCTATCTATGTATCTATCTATCTATCTATCTATCTATCTATCTATCTATCTATCTATCTATCTATCTATCTGGCTGGTAACGTCTGGGTGCACTCGTGATCACCCCCTTAACTTGTCGTGAACCAAAATTGGTATATATAAGATATGACACACTGGCGAAGACATGATTAGTGTCATAATACGATCGCCTACGTCGTCGATCACTTCCCGCCAGACAGTAGCACATACCAGCGGGTGGGTATGTGCCACTGATATGCGAGTATGGGCCACAGGTGAAACATACTAAGCGGCAAGAAATTGTATCAATCATATCTTCTTGAAGTGACACATATACAAAAAGAACATCTGAATAGACGACAGAGTGACATGTTGCCCGACATCGGTGAATGTCAAAAGAACAGTGTTCACGTGGTCATCGTATATTCATCTAGTTCACTACGGTTGTCCACGCACAGCATGCCACCCGATGGCCCTTCGAGCGTGTTCCTTTTTGCATGAGTGGGCACGCTGGGCACAGCGACTCTACGCTAGCAAAACGCAACCGCCGCGACCTCCGTCCGTTGGCACGCCCACAGTTGGGACCGCCCAGGGCACGGACGGATGTTGGTACCCGCGAGTATGAGACATTCAAGGGCCAGTAAACGACCCCGAGGTCCAAATATTGTTATAAACAGTAATATGTGCACTTTTGATTTGTGAACAAGCTGCCACTAAAGATTTTGCGAATACGTGCTATATTAATAAAGCTATAGGGGTTAAAACATCGGTTCCAGCAGGTTTCGAGTTTTCGCCCGGCATCGCCACTCCTCTCCCTCACAGGTTGGGGAAGGCGTAACCCGTCGTTGTGACTAGTTTAGACCAATCGACGAGCTGCGTGCTACGTCAAGTCAACGATCGGTAACTTTGCGTCACTGCACGTGAAAGGGGGATCGGTCAAGCGTAAGAGAGGAGCGCGGGAATTGTTTTAGAAGGCTCTGTGCGCCGCGCAGCGCTTTAATATTCGGGAAACGAGATCACCGCAGTGAACTCCACGAATTGCCGAGTGTTTTTGGGGCGTTTAAAAAAAAATCTGGAGTCTGTTGACTGGCCCTCTAAAGGTTTTCGTCTTAAAATTACAAAGAATCAGACAACCACCGCACATCACGTGCGAAGGACCATCGGTTGGCATGATCTGCTTGGATGACACATCGTTTCTCGCGCGGCGCGTGATCATACGAGTTACGTAAACGGAAGTTTCGGCGTGACGCAGCACACAGACCACACTTCCGGTGCACCGGTTGCGTTCAGCGTTGGTATCGCCGGTCTCGCAGTCTGGAAATTTTACAGTGGATCTCTTAAACTACACGATTTTTTTTATTTTTAAAAATTAGGCTTGTCATGAAACATGACGCACAAAAAACTTCGCCATAAGAACAGCCACCTAACAATTCATAATAAAAAGTTGATTAAAGTGTTTGTTGTTAGTCATTTCAGAGTGAGCTAACTCATGGAAAACCTCGCCTAGCAATTGAGTGCAAAGTAAACAAGTGCCAATTTAATATAACTTTTCAAGAAGAAAATATGTATTCCATAAAAAAGTCACAGCTTTGCCGCAAAGGCGAAGCAATGAATGCGATAGCAACAAATTCGAAGGTCAGAGTGGCAAGCAGATAAAAACGTGCCCCGCGTTTTTCACGCCGCAAATGACGCACGAAACGTACTCACAGGTACAGATGAACGCGAATAAGCGTCTCAGTGGTTACTTCGCTGTGTCTGAAAAGCGCGTCCCTTGCGCGAATGGAGACTGTCCAACAATTACCTTTGTGCACCCAGTAACTACAAAATAATCGTTCCGGTGAAAGCCCAAGGTGTACAATTGTCCCCACCGCAAGATAAGCAAACGCACGTGTGAGCGTCCCCACTGCCCCCTCTCCACAGGGCAAAGTACGCGTGGGAGATGAGAGCATGCGCCACCGCGTCATGAAGATGTGGCGACGCGCGCTCATTGAGCCATCTTGCTGGTAATGCTGAAACGCGATAGTACCCCCTAGATGCCCATCACCAGCGGTAAGTGTTAGACATAAATAGCTTTCCGTTTGAACGTTGAAGGAGGAAGGTCCTTCTTCG